AATCTAAGTGAACTTGTTTACAGATATAAAAACCTGCTAACCAGGTAAAAAACTATCTACATAGTTGTAGAATCTATACATAGAGCTATCTGTAGGGTAGGTGGCACGGGGTCCCTGGGCATGCCCTAGAGGCATGCCCAGGGGGCATGCCCCTGGGGCATGCCTTTTGGCCGAAAGGCATGCCCCTATCATGTGATCATAGGAAGGATCATCACAAATATGATTGGTCGATATCAAAAAATAAAATTCAGCATAGCAGACAATCTTAAAACTAAAAAATTTATTGTTTCTAATACAGCAATACTTTATATAAAAAAACACATAAATTAATAAATATATATCAAATAATTTATAACAAATGTAAACGGCAAGATAAATATATTTACTATTAATAAACCCGAACTCATTAAGAAATCTACAAGATATAAATCAAAGTTTTAATTTATACTTAAAAACATTACAAAAACAAATGGTTAATTATTGCAATCAGAAATGCTAATCTAATATTGAGCCCAAAACTGAGTACCGGGTATAATAAATACTTAAATCAATATATACTAAAGAGCCTAGATTCAACGAACTAATTCCTATAAAATCGAAAATTTGAGGTATAAAAAGTATTAAGATCATTCTTAACACAATAAATTAGACGGCTATAAAGGGTCCTATATTAAAACTTACATCTTAATTGTTCTCTTCAATCTTTTTTGGTTGACCATTTCAAATGCTTATATACAGCTAGTACTAGTGTTGTTAGGGGAAACCTAGAGGTTTCGCCAAAAAAAAAAAATTTAAAATGCCGAAATGGCGAAACTGGCGAAACTACTAAAAGGTGGCGAAACTAGAAAGGTAATAAAATTAGTAAAGGATGAAAAAATTAGTAAAAGAGGCAAGAATAAAACATAATTATACTGTTATATATAATGCTTTTTGATCAGTAATCTAAATTTTATTATTATTATAAGTTACAATTCTTTTTTTTGACCCGAGTCAAAATAGAATTTCCCATAAATAATGCTTAATAGTCACACACAAAATATTTTGATTTACCAACATGGCTCAGTCTTTCTAAAGTCTTAGAGGATTTGATCTTCGCTGTGTTTGACTTTCTCTAGGGTTTTAGCTTTACTGGGGGTTTCGCCAGTGTTTCGATATTTCGCCGGAGTTTCGACGTTACGCCAAAGTTTCACCAGTTTCGACTTTCGCCATTTACAAGAATAGTTTCGCCTAACAACAGTATCTAGTACAGCAATGAATAGTAAAATACTTGCTTCTAAGTGCAGTTCACCAGGTTTTGAATTATTTTGGATTATTTTTGCATAATGAACGTTGACGCTCTTCTCACACACTGGTAGTATTTCCGTTAGTGAAATGTTACGTTCTTAAAAAGTAATCCGGAAATTTATTTACATTCGTCTACCATATGATTATCTGTTATGCTACATATAGAATTTATAGAATTATGGAACACAATATTGCGGAACTCACCACCAGACTTTGATCTAAGCTTGAGTATTCAAGTTTTTTTATTTGTAATCAATTTTCAGATCAAAATCTTTAGCTCTTCCTATTTTTTTTTTTCATTATCATTCTTCTCAATTATGTTTTTTTTTGTAAATTTCGTGAGCCTCGTGATTACGATATATATAATCACCTAAATCCATTATATTTTGCAGACTTATTAAATTTGTCAATGAATCTTGTATCGGATAATACCGAATTGAGAATTAAACTGTAAATCATGCAATAAATTCAGGAATTTTTAAATATGAACAATGGAATATGCACAATAATCTATATTTTTATTATCGATAGAAATAATTATCGATATACCGATATTACATCTAACCAAATTAGGACACTCGTATTATAAGAATTAAGGCTTTAGTGACAAAAATAGAAAATAATTGTACCGCCAATTTAACTGTCGGGTTATTCCAACTATTAATCCAAATTTAGAATTCTCGAATTTGTATATACAACCTAATTGAGTTATGTAAAAATCTCTAGAGCTGTGACTGCGTATTTAAAATAAATTATCTTTGCAATTACAATTCGACCATCGTAATCATGATCAAGATCGTTATTGATGAACAATTACTAATAAAGAAAATGATTATTATAAGACCAATAACTAAATGTGCAAAAAGAAACTTCCAAGCCATAAAACGATAATATGAATATACGATATTGTGATAAATAAATAATTAATATAGAAAAACAAAATAAAGATTATTTTACCACTTATCTAAGAATAAAATAAAGAATCAACTTTTACTTATCTATACACAAAGGCGTTATTGTTCTATTTTTCAATCATTAATGTTATCTAATCAAAATAAAAATAAAAATAAATGTTAAAATATGATTAAAGTTATATAAAGACGACTAATCTGAGACCCAAGTTGCATTGTGTTATTCGCGACACTAAAAAAAAATTATAAAAATTATAATAAAATTATTAATATATCACTATGCAAGCTCCTACAGGTTTTACTATGCCTCTTTCAACACAAGGTCTACGTTGGATTGGTTTTTTCCGTTCTGAAAATAAAAGAGGAGGAAATAGATACACCGCAAAATGCAAATATTGTCTAACTGAATTGAACGGTAAACCTGAAAAGCTTCATCAGCATGTTCTTCGGTGTAATGACTGGCCCATTCTTGAAAAAACCAACTATCTTCACAAAGTTGGGGAAGAAAGCTCTTCATCTCGCAAGCGTACTCATGATGAAGATACTTCAGTCAATCCAACTATCCAAGATGATGAAAACGTGTCGGAGTCATCTATGTCCCATCCTCATCAAGAAACTATTGTTAAATGGTTCGCGCCATCCTTATCTCAATCACAGTCTGAAAAACTCCATCAAAAACTTCTAAAAGCCATGATTTATGGCAATAGTTCTTTTTACTTAATCGAGAATCCATATTTTCAAGACTTTCTTTACGAATTAAATCCTTATTACCATTCTCTCTCTCGAAATATGATCAAGGGGCGTCTGTTAACCAAGATATTTTTTGACCATACTCTAGAAAAGTTAAATATCTTTCCTACTCTTACGGATCTTACAATTTGTCAATGAATCTTGTATCGGATAATACCGAATTGAGAATTAAACTGTAAATCATGCAATAAATTCAGGAATT